AAACCATTTTTTGGTGAATCAGCCTCATGATGACTTTGATTATGTGACAATGAAGTGTTTCAATCTGGATTCACCAGACTGAACAGCCAGCTGTTCATCAAAAAGGAAAATAATAATATTGATAAGAATAACAACAACCACCAGATTTCTTTTTAAGGGCTGATGGTTAGGAATCTGGATGTGACAGTTGTCACTCTAGAACCAATAGTCTTAGAGCAAACTAAAACCATCACATATGTTTGTATTAATAAAGGAATGGATATTACCTTGTCTGTCATTGGTTTCAGATGTTTTAATCCTGTATTTCCATAATAAACTAGTAAGGTTTTATGATTTGTTTAAGACTGGGGATAGGGAAAGTGCTTTCATCTTCATAGTCATAGTTTAACCTCATTCTCCCCTGTTGTTGATGTCAATTTCCACTGTGGGAACAAGTACATAAATATGCTTTGCTTCAAATTTCTCAGAGTGGTAACTATCTTAGAACACAGTTGTCATGATTTGCACAAATCAGTAGATATTGAACAGACTTAGTAGAGAGACTTAGTAGAGGATCTCAAGAGATCTGAGGCTGCACTTTCACAGTTCAGGCCCCTGAAAAAGAGAGACATTACAATGAAGAGGAACTTGTGCTAACAATATTCACACAGTAGCTATTCGTGAGTTAGTAGCAGTCCTGTTTTAAATTGCATAAAATCATTAATCTATGCATTCTCAATGGGAATTTAGACTATACTCTTTTGTATTATAAATCAAGCAGCTTTGAAATTAATTAATAAATTTTTAATGGTTTAAAATAATATATTATGGACAGTATCAAGTAGTGCAAAGGATGAGTTGACTAGTTCAACTTTCATTCCTTTAAAACTTATTTCAGGGGACCATTACGTGGTACATGTAATGTGGATTTCCATTTTTATGGATCCTCTTGCAGTGTCATCTATTTGGTGTAAACAAAGGTTAGTAATACCTTAATTGCTGCTGAAGGTACCTTCGTTTTAAATTTCCCCATGATTTTGTTGTATATTTTTATAAGTAATGAAGAGACTTTCTTGAATTGTTTTGCAACACACAACCCTAGGGAAAAAGAATGGTTCAATCATCTTAGAAAAGAATAAAAGTAGTAACAATATTTATAAATACATTAAAGGAGGAAAATATTTGGAAAAGATCTATTAAAACATATTTCCCTTGGGGAAATATCAGCTTGCATGATTAATTTACAGTGTCTCGAGGATTCACTGAAACCCATCTTAAACTTCTTTATGTGATCAATTCCATTTTATTGCTGTGAGATTTATGCAATAAAGCAAATAAATGGTTGATTTATCTCACTGTTCTACTTGTATAACAAAGCATGAGAGAAACGATGAAGAGAGATAAAATCAACTTATTTACAGAAAAGAATTTATTGTCTGCTGTTTAGATTTGTGAAGATAGTTATTTTAGATATTTTTTCATAATTTTGAATGTTTTCCTAACATATCAGGCACACCAAAAAAGTTATTCAATTAAGATAACTATTTTTGCATTCAAACTTGAATATTATGTGTGCATATAGTCCCAATGCTTTAGAAAGTTCAAAAAATTCTACCTTTTGAATAGAAATCAGAGTTTTCTGTTTTGGTCAAGACTACACAGTGGAATGGAAATATACTATAAGCTTCATAAATGTTGTCCAAAATGCCTGAATGATGTCATGGTAATACAAGCAAAAGGAATGACAGAGTCATCTACTTTATCTAGATATATAGCTCACAATAGTTTTTTTTAATTCTGTCAGAAAAGAAAAACAAACAACCAAACAAAACAACCAACCAAACAAAACAAGCAAAACTAAATACCAAACAAACAAACAAACAAACAAAAAAACAACCAAACAAAAAAGAATGAATGGAGATAATTCTTGTCCAAGACAGAAACCAAAATTAAGTGCAGATAACATGAAAGTCTGAGAAAGATACTGTATAAGAAGAACATTTGGAAAGCTTATTTTATAGAATGAATGTGTTTTCTCAATGAAACTGGGATTAAAAAGGAATATTTGTGATAGATTTTTCCTGAATTTTCAATCAACATTAGTGGTAATAGACACTGGAGTCATTGTTTGTGGATACTAAAAAAACTTTTTATATAGACATATCCTTAGGTCACTGTAATGATTTTTACTGATGTCAAAATTATATATACTCCTCTGTCAGTAGAAGGTGTTTTAGATCTGGATTCTACAGTGTATAGCGCATGAGAACATATTTGTACAGAACCTTCCCACACATACAGCCAAAGTCAGGATTGACAAAGCTTCAAACATGATTAGAAAGCACAACATGCAGCTCCCCACTGATACAAGAATCAGTGGATAACCACATCTGTGGATGCTGTCTTGGCATCTCATTTAGTTCTGCCTGCAGCTGAAGATGTGGCTGATTTTTTCATTAGGAATAAGGAAGTTTGGCTCTAGTTATTCTGATGATTATCAGGGATCATAGAACCATAGAATCATTTAGGTTGGAAAAGACTTATAAGATCCTTGAGTCCAACCGTAAACCAGCACTGTCAAGTCCACCACTAAAGCATGTGCCTAAGTTCTACATCTACACAGCTTTTAAATGCCGTCAGGGATGGTGACTCGAAAACTTCCCTGGGCAACCTCTTCTAATGCTTGACAACACTTCTGGTGAAGAATTTTTTCCTAATATCCAATATAAACCTGCTCTGGTGCAACATGAGGCCATATCCTGTCATCCTGTCACTCATTACTTGGCAGAAGAGACCAACCTCCACCATATACCAAACCACTGAGAAATTTTTGATATATCTGCTGCTCTTGATAGCTATCACCCACAAGAGAAATGCTTTAAATTTCACCAGCCTTCTTTCCGAGAGAAAAATACACGAATGAATGTGCCTCTGAAACTAAGATGATGGGTTTTTAAATCATGAGAGTAGGTTTTAGCTTTGGGGTTTTTTCCTTTTTAAGATTTTTTTAAGCTTGTCTTAGTGGTCAGTCTGTCATGCACCTTTTATAACCTATTTTTTTTGTAAGTAGCTACATGATTTCCATGTATTTCCCTGGAACCAACTACGTGCTGATGCAGTGGTTGAAGTGAGGGTGCTTTTCAGGGTCATGGGTTGTTTCTCAGTCACCTCCTGTCTGGCCTCTTGAGGGGGAATCTTTTCTACACTTCATGGGCATTAAACTGATGGGCAGCGCTGGGCCCAATTAGCTTTAGGAATAAACTGGGTATTGACTATGTCATAATATGAGAGAGGCCTTGGTGACTGGGAAAGTTGTGTGAAGCTGGAAGGTGCTGTAAGAGGAGCTGTGCCACGTATCAACTCCTTCTCATGTCCCTGGGATGCACCACAGACAGGAAGTACTTTACTTCAGGCAGCTGTGTGGGATAGAACAATACTCATGTCCTTTTGTGCAGTATAGCCCACTGTCAGTTGATGTTGCACTGCAAAATAAAGTTGTAGATGCTACACCCAGTCCAAGGGAAAGAAGTAAATGTTGGGAGAATTTTAAAATGTATTTGTTTGAAAAGGTAGAACAAGATTACTGTGAGAAATTTCCAGCACTTCTTTTTACTGTCCCTTTCCTTTGTATTTTCAAGTACCATTTTTCCTTACTATAGGTAATACAGAACAAGTGCTACGAAAATATATTATTCTTAGATCTAAAAAATATCAGGATCATAATAGCAATATGACAGAGCATGCATTAGTGAGTCATAAATGCAGTCCTCAGCCAGTATGATACGTTTATGAAAGTTTCTGTCATTTTTGTTGTCCCATCTCAGTGTTCCCAGAACATCTTATAGAGCTTATTGAGAGCATCTGTTTGAACTCTTTAAGGGCAGGTCTGACCTTAGGCATTCCAGTTAGTCCAGCATGTCTACAGTGCAGCTTTGCTATGAAAGGCATCTGCAAAGTCGCTTTGCTGATTTCCACTCTGTGTCCTTCAGCAATTCCAAAGCAAGTTAACTTTGTTAAGAAAAGAAAACTAGATCTCCTTCTTGGCAAGAAGCATATTTGGTGGAGACATCCCTCAAAGACAACATAGAAGGTGAAACTGGTGAACTGTGAGGATGAAGAAATGTGTGGTAGGATATCTACTTCCTCATCATGTGAAAAGCCTGTCAGCATTCCTTGTCCCTGGAGTAGACATTCATTCCTCTTGAATCTTGTGATGCTGTATTTATATTTGCACTGGAAGGCGACTGAGTGATATTTATTAAGTGTTCTGTTATGCTAAAACATTCAAAATGTTCAGGATCATTTTCAAAAGCAATTTAGGTCCACAGGGGCTAGAACCCATTCAGCTTTACCCATTCTGACTTCTTTTTGATAGATCCTGAGGATTATGGCCCATGGTTGATACAGAGGTGAGTGCTTTCTAACAGTGAGGTCAAAAAGTGAGGTTAAAAATGGTTTTCAATGCATTTGGTGTGGTGATTAAGGCACAAATGTTAAGAGAAACAGATTATCAGAGACAGCACACAGGGAAATAGGCTTTCTTGAATGGAACCATGTTCTAGTTGAATACTCTAGTGCACTATATTTGTGTATATGCTGTTCCTGTTTTATTGATCAGACTTAAATCCAAGATACTGTCCAATACATATCCTGCCTAGTATCTTTGGTCTTCATCATTTTATAAACAACATATTTTTCCCAGAAGATTTGCTTACAGGCGTATAAATTTACTTCTGCACACATCCAGAGGTCTGACTACTGTGGCAAAACTGAGCAATTTAGTGCCGCCTTGAGGCCAAGTGTATTCGATATCCACTGAGTGCATATTCCCTCATTGAAGTCTGAACTGAGGCTGAACCAGTGAATATTGGTACTCTGGGGTTCTGCACAAAGCATTGAATCCAAAGGTCATTTCCTCAAAAACCAGAGTGGGAGAGGAACGCACTAGCCAGGTTTTTGTAAGAATACCACAGAGGACTCAAAGTCAAAGCCAGAATCCAGTCTCTCGGGAAGTTTGATGGAGTCTGAATGTCATTTTGCAAGTTAGCTGCCTAGGGACTAATAGTTCTGGGAACCTCTAGGGTTTGGGGCTGTCCAAACTTCTACCAATCCAATTCATCAGAAGTCAGGTATTCTGCTCTACTTCTCGCTGTGCACGCTTTTGACACGTAGAACCTGTAAAGCAGAAGATTGTAGAAGATTGATCCTTTTCAAGGAAGTGGCTCATTTGCTGCAATTCATTCCTATGTGAGGTACTTCCCACAGCAGCCACCCTGCTTTCCTACTAGGAGATTCAGTACTTGGTGAAGGAAAATAGACAAGTGTACATGATCACTGAAGTCTGACTAGGTCCATGAGCACTCAGCACTGAGGTATTTGCACATGGCATGCTGGGGTTAATGAATCGAACACATAGACTTAGTGGTTAGACCTAACTAAAAATAAGTACTGATGAGGCAAGAAACTCATGTTCTCTTTTCAGTGTAGGAATTGAAACCTACTCTGTCTCTAGTCTAGAGGTAAGGTAATGGGAGAGAATGAACACTAAATCTTTCTTGTTTTAGATGTACCACAGTGTAGCCAGGAACATTTCAAGGAGGGGGGACAATGTGGGCTGCAACTTAGCACAGAGGACATTCCTTTGAAGGGAACCTTAGAAAAAAAAAAGAAAAATAAGAAAGGGAAAACAAGAAACTACTTGAGTTGTTCTTTACACATAATCTGATTTAAAATAGACCTGAATCTGTGAACAGGTTGACATCGCACTCTGAGACATCCACCAAAGTAGTAGTAACCAGAACCTGCAGATTCACACAATCCAGATAAGTGCTTCTCTGATGTAATAAAATGTAATAACTTTGCTGTGCTAACAGGCATACTGCTTTCAGCTACTGCATCTAAATATATCCTTAGTTCCTTTATGTGTTCTATGACTGAAAGAGTTACAGAAGTGTACATCTTATTCTGTCTTCAGAATCCCAGTGAATAACTTTCTTTTCAGTTTATAAATGGCAGCTGTGAACTATGTTTGAAGTAAAATACAGCCATTAGCTGATGCTTTAGAAATGCCATCAGGCTATATGCCTTACTTGCGATAGGAATTGAATTGTGGGATCTCCAATCATAAGTCATACAGTCATAAATCAAAAGCTTTTTATTATAGATATTAAAAAGCAGGAATTTAATCAACAATAAATTATTATATTTATTTGGCAAAAAGACTAAGGAACATTTTTTTACTTATTTGTCTTTTCTTTTTTTAAGCATTAAGAACTTAGCCAAGGATTCAGTTTATCTTTTGTATCTTCAGATTGCAACACTTCTTTCCCTTAACTCACAAACTTACCAGACAGAAGTGTTCTGCCTCACTTTTCACTTTAGGACACTATATGTTATATTTTCTATGAGCCAAATATCCTTTACAGAGATGTCTGGGAAATAAGCCAGTTACAATGGTCTCAGGAGAATCAGCAGGACTACTGAAAAACAAAAAAGTATACTTATATTTAAGGACATGAATATCTCAAATTAGTACAGCAAATGGCAATTGACAGCTTTTGATGAATCTTGGCACTAATTTCTGATCAAGCAATCTATAAGGCTTTAAATGGAAATGTATTTATCTCTTCGTTGACATTAATACAGATCTGAACCTATAGCTTCTGAATTATGTCTACTTATAAGCCAAGTCCTTTTTTTTCCAAATTTTAATACTGTTTGTGTAGATTTGGCCTATCAGACAATTGTGTATCTCACAAATGAGCAGAGCAGTGTCATTGCTAGGAATGATAGGATCATTTTCAAGTCAGTCTGTTAATTTTGATGGCAAGGTGATCGATTGCAGTTTATATGATTTTGGCCAAGGTTGCTTGGTCCATTTTTGAAAAAGATGGCCTCTGACAAATAATGATTTATTTTTTTTTCCATTTGGAGTTAGCCCAAAGGGTTCCAGATGTCAGAGCTCTGACTTACCATCATGCCAGGTTTTGAACGAAAATTCCCAGGAGCAGAGCTTATTGTTGGAATATGCAGATACTCTGCTATTTATAGAAGGACACTAGTGTAATCAAATATCAACATAAGTGCACCTTTAAATAGAAAATCATGGTGGAAATGTCTTCTATTACACATTGATATAGCTGTTTTGCATTTCACAAGTCTGTATGAAGAACAAGTACCATAGGTTAATCAAGCATACTTTATCAGAGTAAGTTTAAAGACTTGACAGTACATACATTGTAAAAAGTAAATCCTTCTGACCCTAGCTTTTAGTCAGATGGTGTGCTGGTCTGGAGTCTTTAAAAGGAAAGGGAGAAGATTCAGGAATAACTTCAAATTCTTCTGATCCAAATGGTAAATCCAGGAAAAATCAGATCAACAATTAATCATACTTTTTAAAACTTGGAATTTTCACCTTTTTTGACATTTAAGTATTTTAATACTTTTACTTTCAGAATCCAAATGAAACTTCAATTATAGCACATTATTTCTCGTTTTCATTACACTTGCAACACTATTTTATGGCATATCCATTTCAATTATAATGTGCTTAATTCCTACTGATGTATTCTAATAGGATGTATTGATCAAATCAATTTTTAGGCATACATTTAAAGATTAGATATATTATTAACATATATTTTATATATATATATATAATAATTTTTAAATTTTTAGAGTCCAATGCTACTTAAAACTGACTAAAACATTGAGATCAAAGTGTTCCTTGTCTGTGCTGTAATGAAAAGAAGCTAAGCATCAAATGTACTAATTAAAAGGCAGCTGTTTTCCTGTTAGTATCTTCACTTGAAATAATTTTTTCTAGGAAGATGAAAATATCATCTTATCTTTAGAAGTTGCATAGCATACAGTTTTTTATTAAAAAAGAACAAAACAACAACAACAACCAACCACACACACAAAAAAACCCCAAACAAACCCAAGGAATGAGCTGTTAGCCTACTCCATTATCACTGGAAAGACAAAAGTTCTTCCAAAAGGTAAGGGTTTATTTCATTTACATGATAAAGGCAATTGTATTTTTTCCTCAAATACTATTAGGCTATACATTTTTAGAGCATTTCACGAAGGAACCTAAAAAAGTTGACCAAGATATGTGTACATAGTTGTAGTATCTGCTGCAATAACTGTATTGCCACCTCAAAATGTCTGGTTTTCTGTGAAGTCTTCTTGACCAACAAAATTTTAAATTAGGCTTTCAAATGCCTAAAGGTCAATGGCATAATTCTTATAGCCCAGGTTTTTATTTTTCTATTAGAGGTATTATGTAGTTTCACCACAGCTTATATAACACTGTGACACTGAAAATAAGACATTCCAGTAAATTCTGACTAACAAATGATGCTAAATATTTAAGTAATAAATGTCAAAATTAATATTATATATTCATAATAGCATGTCTTATTGCATAGTACTACTCCTAGAATGCAAAATGAAAAAGTAATTGTTTAACTTTAACATTAAAGTTTAACTTTCTGAAATACCATTTTTTTCTGAAGCAAAATTATTCAAAATAACTTTTAACTGTTCTTGCACCTATTGAGTCTAGCAGTGATAAAAGACTTTATGATCATAGTTATTAATTCTGTACAGAAGAGAGTTGCAGCTAAGCCTTACAAATAGATGTGACTTCGGAGGCCAATGTTATGCTTCTACCCTGCAAGGCTATCTTTCAATAGTATTTTCTTGCCTATGTTGTCATTCCCACAGTGGTCCCTGTGAATCTTGCCAAATCTGTGGAACACACCCACAGTCTCCTACTCAGATTCTATTTCTTTTCCCACTTAAAAAAAAAAAAAATGCTTTTTTTTTCATTTCTGTTTAATTGGTGAAAAGCGTCCAGTGTCAGAGAAACACAAACTATTCCTTGCTAATTAACCTTGATACAGTGACATCTCCAAGAAACTAGTAGCCTAAGCCAAGACTATTATGAGGAGAATATACAGGTCTTCTGACAGCAGAAACTCAAACCATACGATGTCATTTGTGCATGTCCTGTTCTATGTGGCATGTAATTTCTGACCTCAATGGAAAGATTGATCATGACTTCTTCCATCTGATATTTATGAAATATTGCCTAGCATGTCTAGCAGAGTCAGTAATACATTTTCCTCTTTTTCTGTTTTGTCTCGGGTTTCTATAGCATCTGAGTTTTGTGTGATTTCTCATTAAACATTCTCAAGTTTCACCCACGCAGGCCATCTGGTCTATAGTTAATATTTTAGGACCTATCCCCTTAACTTTGATGTACTTTCTTGTAACTGCTAAAACATGGTGATATCTCTTCCTTCTGTCTTGAGAACCTCCCCCTCACAAGCCAGACATATCAGAGGAGTCAAGGGCTTGATACTGCCAGCAGCTGAACTCTTTCAAATCTCTTGTATATTTTTTTCAAATCTGAGAAAACCTATGATGAGAAAAAGAAATCTGTGAATTCTCAGCAGCAAAAATCATAATAAAAGAAGTAAAGCCCTAAAGTATAAAATATTGTAATAAAAAAAAGTATTATGGCTCCTGGAGTTGGTTTGTTGCATTAGATTATTGACAAATAAATGGTACTGTGATGAATAACACACATACTGTGTGATCCACTAAACTGGATTCACTAATGACATTGTCAATACTATAGCTTGATCCCTGTCTTCACCTGAAGCTTATTTCCCTCTCAGGTTCATTGCATTTCATCTGAGTAACTGTTTTATGAACCAGCAAGGTCCATTACACACCTACGATTGGAACAAGCATTTTACTCTGATTTAAGCAAGTATCTCTCAAATAACTCAGTCACTTTTGGACTATTCTTAGGGTCTGATGTTACTATTTATCCATCCTATGAAGTGAAAACAAGCTTGAAAGACAACAAAGGTTAGATAACTGTTTCTAAGAAAGAACTTGACAACTCTCATAATACTTGTAATGACATTCGCTTGGTGTAATACGTCGCTTTCCTCTGATCCCATTCTCCTGAACTTCTAGGATTGTGTGATCACTGTAATGACATTTCTCTCTTAAGGATGGACCTACACAAATGTTTCATGGTCTGTCTTGTAGCGTTAACTAACTGGACCATGATCAATTGCTTCTTAGGCACAGGGACTGATCCCAGTTGGTGTATTTTTCTTCTTCCCTGTCATCTGCATCACTCAACCCAGATGGAATGCTCAGTCACAAGAACATGTTTTGGGCAGTGATGCATGGGGAGTGGATCACTGATGACTAAATCAGACCCATTGGGTCATAAGCAGGAGCTGCTTGGAACCTTCAGTGTGAGAAAAGAGAGTAAACGCAGAATTCATTTCCCTTAACTCGTATGTCCAGGGCAGGCTAGATGCTCCAAGAGCCTAAGATATATTCCGGAGTGCAAATGTACTTTTTAAGTATCATCTGGAGCCCAGGGGAGATGCTCAAACATGTCCCAAAGGCACTAAGCATCTATGCTTAAGCAGTATTGAACTCTAGATTTTGTTGATCCTGACTGAGATCACACTTAAACACCACATACAATACCTACATTTAGGTTTCATAATCTCTGAATTTGTCCCAAGACAAATTGTAATAATGAGGAGCTGAACAGCTATCATGGAAGAGACACTGGTTTAGTCATCCCTAAAATCTGATTGAGAAAGGTTTCTACAAGGAAGGGGATTCACCTCACTTCTAGGAGAGGCACATGAAACTAGATAGGGTGATAAGATTCTCTGAGACTGCTATCTTTGTGTGTCAAGAGATAAGATTTACTTCCTCTCCTGCTCCCCCAAAGTTCTATTGTGGCTGCTTTTATATATTTCTATCTTTCGTCTGCATAAGTTTATTGTAAAATACAGAAAATTCCTTGAAATTTGCCACAGTTTATTTTTCCTCTTCTGTTGTTTGTTTTCAGTCTACTGCAGAAATATGATCACTACAGCACTGCTTGCCAAAATACCACAGAAACAGGGTAGGGAGAGTAATGGTGATCTTGCCAAAGAATTTAAATCCAATATGCTGCACAGTGTAGAGGGTGCTCTGCCTCCTATAGGCAGTGACACACTGGTTGGTTTTTAAGACACTGCATCCCTATTTTGTCTTAGGTTTAAATGTATTTGCACTCAATCAGAATGCTACACAATATAATGCATTTATAATATGTGTCTGCTTTGCCACTAGGGGATTAAAATTGTTTTAATGGGCTGGTTTGCTTAAATTTCCTGTCTCATCCTTCTTCCCAGCTTTGCTGTAGTCATGCATAACTTAAAACTGGAGGGTGAGTGTAGGTGTGCAAAAGGGTATTTTACTTGCACAGGAAATATTTACAAACATAAATATTTCCTGAACTAGGATAAGAAATTGTAAGTTGTATGGATATGTTGTCATTAAACAGAGGATCAACATATATCACTGTATGCAAAATCCTTTACATCTGTCAATTTTCCCGTTATCCTATTGAGAAATATCCTCTCCTCCCCAAATCTTGAAGAAA